CGTGAGCGCCTGCCCCCTGCCGGCAGGCCCCAAGCCCTACCAGTGCGACGAGTGTGAGTACTGCACTAACCGGGCCGACGCGCTGCGCATCCACAAGGAGACGCGGCACCGCGACGCCCGGGCCTTCATCTGCGAGCAGTGCGGCAAGGCCTTCAAGACCCGCTTCCTCCTCAAGACCCACCTGAAGAAGCACAGCGAGGAGAAGCCCTACGTCTGCAACGTGTGCTACCGCGGGTTCCGCTGGGCCGCCGGCCTGCGCCACCACTACCTCACCCACACCAACGAGCACCCCTTCTTCTGCCGCTACTGCAGCTACAAGGCCAAGCAGAAGTTCCAGGTCATCAAGCACATCCAGCGGCACCACCCCGACTGCGGCCCGGGCGACCTCAGCCAGGGGGTCGGCAAGGACGCCAGCACCCCCACGCTGCACCTGCACGACGTCCAGCTGGAGCCCCCCAAGCCGGAGGGCGAGGAGGGGGCCCTCCCGGTGGCACAGGCCTAGCCGGGCTGGAGAGAGCCAGGGCTGCTCTGGGTCCCTGGTGGCTGGCTGCGGGCACAGGCCCTGTCTAAACGTGTATAGGCAAATGTGAATATGGGATGTAAGATATGCAGCTGTATAAATGGACTCTCGTTTCCATTTCTGTGGGGCTCCGTTGCTTTGCGGGGCCTTCTTTGTGCTGCCCCGATGCTGGGCTGGGCTCAGTCCGCTGCCTGGGTACCTCCTTGGGGCCCCCCAGCCTCGGCAGCTGCTGCTGGATGCCCCAGTGCCCCGGAGAGCCGGGCTCCACAGCCTTCAGTGTCCACCCAAGGGTGGTCGCCGCATGAGCGATTGCTCAGCCCCTCCCCCCGTGCGCAGCGGCGCTCGCTCCTTTGATCTGACCCTGGCGCGTGAGAGGAGCCGTTGCCTGCGACGGAGAATTTCAGCGCCCAGGGGACCTCCGAGATGGGCGGCCAAGTTCCTGAGCGGTCCAGCGGGCCTGCAGGCGATCCCGTGTCCAGCAGAGACCCAGGCAGGCTTTGAAGTTACTGGTTTGTCCCAGTGTTAACCGGGAGCGTCGGATTAAAGCGGCGAGAGGCTGAAAGTGAAAGGGCTTTTAGCTGAATACAGGGTTGGTATCTTTCAGCTCCACAGAGCCTGACTCCCCTTTCCAGCCAGCTCAAACTCTGGCCCAGCCCGGGAGAGATCTCTGTCACACCTCCCACTCTAGAGGGTATCACAGGTCACACGTGGCTCCTCACAGCGAGACAGCAAAGTGGGGAAACTGAGGCCCCAGGAGACTGTTACTTGGCCACACCCACACAGTGAGTTTGTAGCACAGCTGAGGCAGACACTGAGCGGAGGAGAGGGGGCATCTCCGATTTCATGCCACTGTGCCCAGATGCGCTTGCGCCCCTCTTCTAAAGAGACTGAGCGTTGACTCCCTGGCCAGCCTCCTGTTGGTGCCCCGCCCTCCCCGCAGTCTGACTTGGACCTCTGGGTTCCTCTCCCTGTCGAGCTGCTGGTGCCACACAAGGGGCAGCCGCAGGGGCAGGGCAGAAGGGTCCGGTGTGCACACCCTTGTCAGTCCCTCTGCAGTATGGCTTTGGGAGGCTGCGGGAAGGGGCTGGACCACGTTGCCCTTACTCGGACTGGGCGACGGGCTGGCCTGGCTGTCTGCATGGGGGGTTTGTACCCTTTCTGGCTCTGGGCGCAGGGGGCTTGAAAGCAGGGTGAGCTGCAGCGCTGACCTGCGGGCACCAGCTGGCTCCCCCGCTGGTAACTAGACTCCAGAAGATGTTTACCAAACCTTGCCCTGGAATCCCCCCAGCACCCCAAGGATGTTAAATTTAGTGACATGGTCGCTCGTGCCAGGCTGCTCAGCTACATTCACTTCTTGGACCACGGCCTGAGCACCGGCAGGACTCAATCAAGAATTGCCTCCCCCTCCCCCCGAGAGGCCCAGGACTAGCTGCTCCAAGGCACAGTGAGTGAGTGTCTAGACGTTCTCTCGTTTCCCATTGACGGGACAGGTGCCCAGTCACTGCGGGGAGAGCTGAGATCTCCCCTTACTGGGTTCTCTCCTTTTCTAGCCTCTAATTTCCCCGAGCCCTTCAGCCACCTTGGCCATCCTGGCCGAGGGGTCGTATCTCCCTGCTGCTCTGCTCTGACTGTTCACGCATGGAGTTTCTATCCCTAGCGATTCTGCAGGTCAGTTTGCGTCACTGCAGACTGGTAGGGTACGTCTCCACAGCACGCGTAGTTCAAAATAAGCTATTTTGGAATTTTTTCCCCAAAACAGCTTATTTTGAAAAAGCGCGTCTACACTACAGGGAAGCCTCAAAATTAGCGTGAGGCAGGCTTCCCTAAGGTGGATGCACTCCCTCCATTTGGAGGCACTGGCGAGTAATTGCTCTCAGTGGTCCCGGGGGGGCTACTACTACTGTCCACACTACTGCTATTCTGAAATAGTGATTTCGGAAGAAGCGTGACTCCTCGTGGAATGAGGGTTACCGATTTGGAAAGAAGCCGTCTGTTATTTCCAAATTATTTCAAACTAGCGGAATTGCTGTGTAGACGCTCGCGTTGTTGTTTTGAAATAACTGTGCTGGGTAGACGCATCCTTACTGTATTGACTCTGGGCTTTCTTTCCCAGCACCACCTGGTGGGAATGGATGGGATCAGTGGAGGATTCTCTCTGGGGCACCTGGCATAGGACACTGGGCTAGATAGACCTTTGGTCTGACCCAGCATGGCCAGTCTGTCGTTCCTGTGTATTTTATACCCTGGTATTACTGTGTCCCACTGGCTATCATTATTTCACGATGCCTGTTGTGTCAAAATTCCCACATCAGCCCGGACACTCCAGTTCACCCATCTTAATACTTAGACTTCTAGCATTTGTGTAGAAGCACAAAAAGCCACCACCCCACCAGGCTTTGGCTTTGTAACCAATCTCTTATTTTATTAAGCCGCCTTCATATAAAGGGATTGTACAAGGCATTAGATCAGCTACCCCCCGTCTGTACAGCCGCATGTTCTAAGCGCGGCATCTAAACCTACATTACATACAAAAGTACCTGAGCGAAGGGGGGGCTGGGGAAAGGCAGCACGGGGGCCTGGGCCATGGTCACGAAGTCTGAGGGGTTTGCAGCTTCCACCATGGTGGCCCCCAGGTACTTTCTGGGTGTCTTCACTTTTGGCCTTTAGAACTCTGAGCTGGGGGCCTGTCTCCAGCTAGTTCTGCGGGCATTGGGCTCTACCCATGCCTGCCCTCCTCTGCTTGTATCTCACAAGTTATCCTCTTACCCTCTGCTGCACCAGCTGCAGCCCATCTCGTGTGCTCAGGAGGGGGATGGACTTGCCTCACGGGGCACCCTGCTGTCCTGTCGCTAGGTACAGGCGCTCAGCAGTCCCAGCAAGGGGTGGGTACGTTACTAGATGGGAACCACCAGCCCACAGAATTGGCATGGGCTGCATAGAATTCCCCTCCAGGGACCCCTGCGAGGATCCATTCTGCACTGGTTCCCTGCTAGGTGCTCTTGCTTGGCTCTTTGCTTGTCAGGGCGTGAGAGCAGCAGCACCGTGGGAAGCGGCTTTGGTCAGAGCCTCGGCTGAGTCTGCCAGCAGTACTCTGGAGGGAGGGATGTGGACGAGCCCTTGTCCATGTGGCGAGAGCATTGGGCAGCGGGGAGCTCTCTGGGTGCCCCACACCGCAGGGATAGAACTGACAGGGCCAGATGCAAGAGGCTACGTCACTGGGGCAACACCAGGGTGCATGCAGCATGCCAGGCGCATGACTAGACACAGCAGGATAGTCTGTGGCTGCTGCTCCAGTCGGGCTGTGATAGGATCTGTCAGGCTGGGTCAGAGCCCAAACCATCCAGCCTGCTACCCTACTTCAGCGGCCTGGGCAGTTCGGGGACACCCGGCCTTCAGGGTGGTCTCTGAGCCCCCGGATTAGCAGTCGGCTCGTGCCGAGCTGTGAGCGAGTTTTCCTGGTGCAATTGTTCAAGCTGCAGCTGTCGGGAAAGCTCCTTGGCCATTGATCGTCATGCAGAGGAGCAAGGGCGCCGCGGCAGAGTGCAGGGCTGGGGGAGAACACGCATCCTGCGCTATTGCTGACGTCCGCTCGGCCGCACAGTGAGGATTGCAGGGCCAAGGCGTCCTGCGCCCTGGCCTGAGGAGCACTGCAGCACCGGCCAGGCTGCTTGGGTGCCCATGTAGCCGGCTGGCCAGGAGGCTGTGCAGACGCAGACCCTCCCCACGGGGAGCTCCGTGAGCCCCGGAGCCTGCCAGCTCTTGTGTCTGTTCCCCAGTGCACCACCCTCCAAGCAGCTACCCAGCGTGAACCTCACAGGGGAGACCTCTGTTCCTGCTGCCCCAGCGGGGGAAGAGATGAGAGGCATCCCAGCTCCTGTGAGGCGTCCCAGTAACTCCAGCTGCCATCCAGATCTGTGGGTCGGGGAGCCTAGTTGGGCACCAGGAGCTAGACACAGCTGATGCAAGCCGTGGAGACATCGTCCCGGTGTGGGAGACCTCTCGCAGGCTGGAGGCTGCGTGAGGCGCCGGTGCCTGAAGCGCCGGCTCCCTGCATGAGACGAAGCCTTCCCAGAACTAGCTAGAAGGACGCAGCGGCGTTAGGAGGCAGCAGAGAACCCGCCCCTTGGCTAACCCCCCCTCGTTGGCCACCGGCCGCAGGGGCTGTGTTTGGAGGGGGGCCGGGGCTGGACGCCTTGCTAGGGAGCTGTGTGTGTTTGTAACGAGGCGGAACAATTAAACCGATGCCAGGCTGGGACGGCCTGTAGGTCGGCCTGTGGGCGCCGGCGACCCTTGACCTCGGAATCCATGCTGGATCTCCTCAGGCACTGGCGGCTCAAACCGGTCGGAACCGGATCTTCCCGCCTCGCGCTCGCCAGGGTTCCGCTCTCCTCAGGCTTTATAAGGGCGGCGGCGCCTCTGACAAGGGACATCCCCCTCGCGCCCGCACACCCCGCTTGTACCCGCCTGCGACTGCGCCTCACCCCCCAGTCCGCCCCTAGCGCCCTACATCGGCCTGAGGGGGCAGGTCCTGGGGGCTCCCCCAGTGCCACGGCCCGGAGGGCTGGTACTTAGGGGCTATTCTTGCCCTCTAATCACTGAGCCAGAGGGGTTGGGTTAGTGGCTGTGGGCTGCAAGCCCCGGTTTGTGCTGCCGCTGGCACCACCTTTGTTCAATGCTGCATCTGCCTCCGATTCACTGGCCCGTTTCTCCCTTTTGTAATCCATCCCTGAAGAACCTGCTACCTTGTTTGCACCCGAACCCCGCCTCCTCCCTCTTTAATGCACCCACCCCAGCACTTCATTCATTTGCAGGTGATGGGGGCTGACCCTGTACTTGTGACACGCAGCACTTTAACCACGTTTGCCCTTGGGGTAACAGAGTGGAGCCCGCAGCAGGGCCCCTCTGGAATTCATTTCTCAGGGTAGGTCCTGCTAGGATTGTTTGTGACTAGCGCCAGATTGGCCCAATGGCGTGAGGGGGGCCATCGAGGCGCAGCACCGCGCCCTTTCGAAGTAGCAGCTTCCCAGCCCAAAGGCCGAGAGGCAAGAGCTGTGAGCGTTTGCAGCGGTGCTCTGTGTGCTTTCCTTCCCGCCCTTCCGGTGAGGTGCCGGGAAAACCCTA